AGCACCCTTAAGGAGGTGGTGACGGAGAAGAAAAATAAAGGCTTTCACTTCCTTTAACTCCACAAGTCTGAGTTCTTGTATCTATCCTATCCAAACCTGAAAGTATTACAATATGTATCTGTATAGCAGGTGGTGTACAGCTTTTTAGTATAGATTACACTTTTCTAAAACATATTTACTGTAAAAAATAAAAACTATTACAATCTAATCTTTCCACGTTTGATCCCAAAATCCCAAGAAAAATAAATCTAAACTGGGAGAATGCTGAAAGTTTATTAAGATACTTAGAAGACAAAGATACTGTATGTTGCATTTGTCTGATTATGATTAAAAAAACACATATAATTAAACACGCGTTTGCGATTTAAATCAAAATGCGATTTAAATCAATATAAATGTTTATATTGTAACGCATACTGTACAGCCTCCATTTCTCTATAAAAATTTAAAAGATTGTGTGCGCAGCCTAAGAGGGGGGTCCACTGTCAGTGACAGCTGACAATCTTCCATACACCCATGTGAAAAATCAATAATGCCAATGTAAACGTCATATTTACAATTTGTTGATAATAGAAATGTTAAGTTCTCTAAAGCTTTGATATAGTTGACCCAGGAGCAAAAGATCAGCTGCACTGGTAAGATGCAACACCGAAGATATGATTAATAACCTTTTAAATCTGAAGGGAGATCTAAAGGGATCCCACCCACAAACACACAATAGAAGCAGGAAGCAGAAGCAGGGACCGTTTTCAGAAGGGAAGAAGGTGACTATTCATTGTTATCAAAAATGACTTAAATTCGATCATGTTGGGATATTTAGAAATATAAAAGTCAATTAATTGTCCATAATATTGCTATTCTATTTTTTCAAAGAAATGTTTGTTAAAAGAAAAGTCACGGCACCAGCTGGATTTGAACACACAACCTGTAGGTTTAGTAACCAGGCACATAGACCAGTGGGCTACTAGGGAAGTCACATGAAGAGGCGAAACAGGCCTACACAGCACTGTCGCAGTACACAAATATAATCATATCATTATTAATTTCTTTAGATACGTGATTCCATATTATATTAGCAGAAAAGCTTAAAACTACCACTTTTTACACGCTATTTCACATGTTAGTTAAAGACTTCGATGCTTAAAATGTTTAGGGAGAAATGGAATACCGGTGTGTATTAAGTACCGATTCCTGGAATCTGACTGGCTGACACCCTTTTGAAGTGGTTCCATAATATCTGGTATACGGAAAAGAAAGTGTTGATAAAAAAGCCTGGATTCTCATGTATCTGATACAAGTATCTTTTAATACAGTCTTTGATGTGCTCTTGAGGATCCTTGTGATATTTTGAACTCTGGTTGAATGATAAGTGTCGCAGTTTAAATAATTTTCGTAGTTAGAAATTATTAAGCGCTCTGTTAAAAGCAAGGGAGTGTTTATGTCCGTTGCAGTAAAAGAAAATGCCTGACAAAGTAGGGCTTGGACAGATTCCAAGTGCTTGTACAAATGTGCCAAAGAAATTAGCAAAAAAAGTCATTCCTTTATCGTATTGGCTAGCTAATGTCCTGTCCTCGTTAGTTAGATCTACAAAATGCTGTGGTGTTTGTCAAAGAAAAAACTAAAAGTATTTTAGTTTAAAATTACGGTTAGAAAGAATGTGGACCAGTGTAATACTTTGAGTTTACAGCTTGTCCAAAGTCATTCATTATTAATACTATTAGTAATATCTTCGGTAAAGGCTTTGATGCATAAATATTTCTGATAAAGGTAGGTTGTGTACTTTTGTCCAACTGAGCAATCTTGCTTTCATAAAATATACCAACTTTTTAATGACTGATGATTAACATGCTGTAATACACAGTTTAAATTTAAAAGCTCAAATGCTGTACATGCTGTACATGCTGTTAAGCTTTATTGGCTCCTCCTGGCGGTTTTACAAGGTGATTCCAGATACTTTCCGGCATGACGTCAAATGACGCGATATACAGCGTGATACTGCGTTTTGATGCGACACGCCCACCAGTGTATACTGCGAAATACCCCACCCATTTTGAATGGCTGCATCTGTTTGATAATTACATGATAAAAGATAAAATAAATACATAGATTAATTAAATTTCCATCATATTACTGTCCTGTAATAAAAATTTAACATTTTTGTTGGAAAGCTGTTATATAATATTGTAACTCAGCAAAGCTACAGTTCTTATTTCTTGGAATGTTGTACCATGCTACATTTTTCTATTACGTAACATACTGTAAGTGCACTCCTCTGGAAAATATGTATTGGGAGAGCACTTAGCCTAGATGGTGTTGCATAGGATGACTACCAAAATCCTAGTTTGTGGAACTAGGAATATTAAATTTATTGTTGAAAATGTGTGATTTGGAATATTATGTAAAATCTTTGTATAATTAATAACAATACTTTATCTTGTTAATGAAACAAGTATTTCAATGAAGTACCTTTTCAAGGTTAGTATTTTGAGTAGTAGGAAGCACTTTCAATGCATTTACTGGATATTTCCTGTTAAAATGCAATGCTTTTAAATAGATATCTCATAGGAAGAGATATGAAGTTCCTTATTTTATTTGTCTTTTGGTAGCACTTTAGATAATGATCTAAAAAAAATCCATTTAATTTTGCCCTACACCCACTGCTTGCCAGGATAGACTCTGACTCTACCATGACCCTGTTCTAGATAAAACAGTTAGAAAATGGATGGATAGATGAATACCATTTAGTATACTATTTATGTTTAGTTATAGATTAACAGAAAATTGATAGAATATTATGCTCTTGGTGATGGTGATCTTTGAGACTAACCACATTAATATTGAAAAAGGCTTATGTGGAGAATAATGTAACATGTAAAGCACTCCAGCTCACAATTAAACTAGGTCTCTAGAGCTGTAAGACTTCACCGCCAACATACCATTATACTAACTAGTCCAATTTCCTTAAAAAAAAACTTTTACCCATTTGTGCAAATATAATGAGAAGAGCGAACTGTACAATCTTGAGGAAACTTCATTGGAAGAATTTTTATCAGATTATAGTCCAGCCACTCTAAACACAAAGTTCAAATTCCTCAGAATTGACAGAATATAAGATTAAACAACATCAAAAAGAATGCAAGAGTTTAAATGACCTGGTATGAAAGAAAAACAGATTTCTACAGCTAGCAAAGATGTTTTTCTAAAATACTGTAGTGGCAGTAACACTCCAAATTTTAAGAAGTGCCAATCAGACTAAACACACAACAACAAAGATCCGTCCATCCCTTTTTTATGCACTTTAACCAATAAAAGGTCATGAGTGAGCCAAAGCTTCTTCCTGCAAGGAGCGAGCACAAGGCAGGGTATACCCTGGGCACACACAGACACAGACACAGACGCTCGCACTGGGTCCAATTTTCCCAGGAGCCAATTAACCTACCAGTATGTTCTTTGGACTGCAGGAAACCCACATAAACATGTGGAGAACATACAGTCCATATCCACACAGATAGCACTACAGACATTGAACCCAGGGCCCCAGCACTGTGAGGCAGTAGTTCTAACTACTGCCCCAGCGTGCTGCCTAGAGTAGAAGATACATTATTTCCACTTACCACGCCATAGACATGAAGATATTGGGAAGTAAAAGCCACCAGTACCAGTCTCCTTTATCTGAGAACACGGCCATCAGAAGACCAACAAGGATTCCATTGTAACCATAGAGTCCAGCAGCAATACCCCCCCTGCCAAAGAGATCATGTTAAAATCACAAATACATAACAGGTTTTGCCAAAGTTTATAAGATGTATAATCACTGTAAAATATTTATTAACACTGTAAAACCCTTAGTTTTAAGTTTTTAATAAACTTGTAAGATTTGTAATGTTTTAAAGTTTTAGTTTTGTATTAGTTAATAAAGATGCTATGTAGTATCTTTTCCAATTCATAATACCACAAGGTTTTGGAAAAAGGTAATCCATCCACCCATTTTGTAACTGCTTTATCCAATACTGGGTCATGGGGACTTGGAGCCTATCCCATCAAACAACAGGTGCAAGGCAGGATATACAGTATCCTGGAGGGGGTGCCAGTCATCACAGGGCAGAGAGACACAAGACATGCACATACTCATACAAGGGTCAATTTTCTAGGGTCAACTAGAAGCCAATTAACCTACCAGCATGTACTATGGACTAGGGCAGGAAACTGGGGCTACTGGAGAAAACCCACATGAACTTGGGGAGAACAAATCCATGCAGGTAGCACCCCAGGAATTGAACCCAGCCCTGTGTGGCAGCAATATTTGAAGCTTTATATCCCGTAATTTCCCATACTAAACCTTAAGGAAAATTATCAGAAGGACTTTTTCAAGAGTGGTAGATGTGAGCTTTTGATGAATATCAGTTTTTATAAGTCATTGATATCCAACTAACCAATATGTGAAATATTATAAATATTGTTTTTATTGAAGAATACTTGTCTTCCATACTTAAAGATTTTTTAGGATATTTAAAAACATTAATTTTTACTACTGGATGTAGAAAAAAGTGATTATATCAGCAATGGTAATTGTGGGGATTTGTTTATACTGTATGTACATGATGCATTGATTATTTGCCTTTTTTGTGTTGTTTACGTCATGTGAGAGAAAAAGAGACATTTAGCAGGATCATCTTGCTATCCTTTTATGTCCCTTTTAATAGCCTTATTATACTGTATATCAGCTGTGTGCGAAAAATGTTAAATATCTTCTACAGGAAGATTAGTGTGTGTACACATTTGCCCCATTTGTTTTCAGGTTTTCATTTAATATATGATTAAATGTATTATTCATACAGAATAGACCCACTTTTTATGATCCTTTTACATCTACTCACTTTCTGTGATGTCACATTATGCGCTTGTCACTACTAAAGGCTCTGTCTTTTTTATTGCATTTTGATGTTTTGGTAAACAACAACTTTCGACTGAAACAGCTGGACAGTATTTGTTCTCATGCTATCAAGGTCTACACTTTTTTGAAAAGAAGGAAAGGGGGATGGTACCTGTTTTGCTTGAGAAGGAGTGCAGAAATGGTTGCAAACATGGTCCCCACAAAGCCATTGAGTGCCCACCATCTGTTCTGCAGAATTAGTCCAGCGAAAATAATCAACCCACTGAGAGGATTGTTGACAAACATCACCTGAGCGGCACCTCGAAGAACCCAGTCAAAAAACTGGATCGCAAAAAACTGACCTAGAAAGCAAAATCAGCATGAAAAGAAACTTTTCATGGCATATTTCAATTTCTAAAACTGGAATTCAGCGAATCCGTCTGAAGTTTTCTAAAAAAGAACCCCATTGAACTGCATACCACTTCTGAAATTTAGGTTAGTGGAGAGGTAAGAGAGTCATTCATAATTTGAGAAATTCATAATTTGCTCGATGTAGGGGGAATCTGAATAATGTTCATGATGTGGTGCCAAGAATTAATGTCACAAGAGAAGGACTGGTCCCCTCAGTGCTGTACAAGGGACTATGACAGCAGGTAAGAACAAATCAGCTTGAATGCAAGATTTAATAAAAACATTTTGACAGTTTAATCTATAACTGATAATCCAAAAAAATTCAGGTGTTACGATGATAGCCAAGTCATTTTCATCCAGAGTTGTTCTAAATCATAATAATTTTCTATGTCATCTCCCAAGTTCAAGTATCCCATATAGCAAGTAAATCTCTCTATTTGTGTTTGACTTACATGCATCCCTCTTCCTCCCCATCTCCACCTCTTGGTTAACTCCTCACTCTCCATGGGGGTCCCACACATCTCACCTTATAGGCAGGCAACTGGCCCTCAGCTAAGCAGCTTAAACCAAATCTCATTATACCTACAGTACGATATCAATAGACATCCTCAAATCCTTATAATTCTCCACTGTGATATTATTCCTCGTGTTATGCATGTTATGCAATGTCATATTCAAACAAATTAAAAGCTGTGAAATGCTAGTATCTTTCTCACATATTAACATCTCACTCTTTCATTTCAAATTGAAATAATTTCTTTAAAACATTTTGATAGTTTAATTTCAGAATTGGCAAAAGCTGCAGAGATTGAATTGGCTTCATCATATTTGATTTCAAAACATCTATTCTAATATCTCCAATATTCTTTGCTATACTGAATATTGCACTTCCAACTCTGTCTGAAAGCAAAATTCAAGAAAACCTTGTAGTCTTACCTTTCATCCATTCTCCAAAGACTTTCATGTCCCCTGAGATATAGGAGACAGGTTTAAAGAGGGCTTTGGCCTTCTGAAGTATGGATGTTACCGCTGCCTGTTTTTGTGTCTTATCTTCCTGCTGTTGCTTCGTCTGATCTGCATTTTTCTCAGTTGTTTCAGGGAGTGGGTTTGCCATTAGGGGTTGAAGTTCCTTCAAAGCATTGACATAAAATTAATAAACCTCCATGCATGGGGAAGCATGTAATATGCCATGTCAATTTGACAATGCTTTTTTTTAGCATTTATCAATCTCTACCAATATCAAAATAACATTGCAGACCTGCCTGTTGTCCAGTTTCCTAGTGGTGCTTTAAATCATTTTTAAATGATTATGAAAGCAAGGTGCTTTAAATCATGAAAAAAACAAGCCCTGACATATCAAATGCAAGCAAGTTCTTTATTCTCCATATATTGGAAGAGCCAACTCCTAATTTGTATAGACGATAGCACTAAAATAGCCACCTAAAATCTGGTGGGCATGTCTTGAACTTTTTGTTGGTAATGAAGAGCATCATCTGGTTACCTTATCTGCTTAGGGCATTTTCTCTTTAAAAAATTAAATTTCATTTAACTGTAGGGGTGTTATGTATGAGCCAGGACCTTCTCACTAGACAGCAATCACCCCTCACTGTACATAATTATAAAACAAAAGCCAGGAACTTCACAGTTAGCAAGTCTTGAATTAAACCTTGGTGACATTGTTGCAGCAACAGGTGCTTGGTGCTGGACAGATTGATAAACAAAAACATCGCAGACTATTTTCTCACTCTGGCCACCAGTTTCTCCATTGCTAGAAAGACAATACTTTCCAGTATCACATGTCCATGAAAACTCATGCATCCAGAAATGATCTCCTACATACAGCGTAGTGACTTTTACTCAAATCATTGTCAATACAAGCAGCGATCAATGCTTAAAGGCCTTTTTTCTAAATGATATCTATTTTTTTCACAGAACATAAAAAATGTACAGTAGTTTTATTTATCTGTGAGCCAAGCAAACTGCCTCAGATCATATCTCACAGTTTCATGCCAGCAATAACAAATACAATATTGCTATAAGAATAGTAATCCACATTTGTTGCCCTGGTGGCACTAATAATAGTAGCCTGATCACATTTTTCTTATGATCTTTAGAACTTATTTAGAAATAGTTTGATAAGCATAAGCTGAAGTAGTTTTAAACACTTTGCAAGACTATTCTGTAGCCATTGCAACATGCCATTGTAGGTTAGGAAATGGTGATCTCGACCACTAAACATTCAAATCCAAAAAAATTAAATAATTGTTCAAACAATAAACTTTAAGAAAGTTTTTCAAAAGTGTGCGTAGAGATTCCCATGGGTGCCAAACTGCTGAATGACATCTGTGAATGAACTGAGTACTGTCTTTTGTAGCTAACATGAGAACCTTCTGTTACCTTCCAATTATAGTTTGAAGTGTATGCTGTAGATGCAACCTTATGGCCCAGAAAACCACTGCAGAAACTTGAGGTATTCTTAGGAATATCCTAGAGTGGACAGACAAGCAGTGTAGAAATAAGAAAATGGCAACATGAGCATATATATGTTCTGTACAGGATATTATTATAGTATAATATTCAACAACATTCTCCAGTCCTAGTCCTGGAGATCCCCAATCCAGTCTAATAGTTTATTTGTTTTTAATGATTGGGAACACTTGTGTGATAATGATCAATTTAGCAATCAACAAATCTCCTGCTTTGTTATCACAATAACTGCTTTGTCTATCCCAATAAAAGTGCTTTATGTCTTTCAAAGTTAGATTAACCAGTGTTAAGACTGTAGAGTGTAAATTCTTGAAAGGATGTTACATTACATTATAAATTATTTTTAATGGTGTTATATTTTTACATTGGTCCTGTTGTAGACCTACTATTAAAATATAACTACTACAAGAAAAGGTCTGTTTATTGTTTTAACCAATATTTACTATTTATAATCATTCTACCAGTGAC